AAAAAAAAAAATCACTAGATTGGCAATATAGACATAATTACGTGAAATGGTCATACAGTTATCATCCATAATCTTAAGGATACAGATATTATGGTCAACTTGCATTCTAAACGGTAACCAGCATGTTATGGCAAAAACTTGTATGTATACTTGTATATATTGATATTAAATAGCTATACCTTGGAAAGAGTAGAAATAATATGAACATGAGTTTTGCGGTAACATAAACATAAAGGGGACAAAGAAGACAAGATACGTGGCCTAATCTCCTTCCCCAACACGAGATCCAGAGAGCTTCAAAAGCTAAGTGTGTGATAGGTGATGCTATGTAGGGAGTAGATCCTAGACATGTAGGGTCCCAGAGGATGGAATGACAGGAAAGACAAGCAGCATCCCTGCGGGTGGTTGTAAGGGCAAATGACTGCAGGGGAGCTGAAGCAGCTGTAACTTTAAAAACCGGGTCATAGGTAGCCTTGGGAGGAGTCTGTCATAACTTCCAGGTGGCGTTAACTGACTGGTCATACATCAAGGACTACCTATAGAGGTGTAAAATATTTTGACCCAAATTATGCAAAGTTGCATCAGATCTTATATAGCCTTATATCATTGTACTTGATGTCAGATCCTTAAAAGGCTCTCACTTTTTCCTGGATTGTGCAAATTCTGAAAAATTATATTTGTTAAAGTTATATCCCACCTATCATTCAGGAACACAAGGTGACATATATAGCTCTGCATCTCCCAATCTTTCCATGGCTTACCTATAATTGATATCATGATATGAATTTGAAATCAAGGAGAAAAAGGCATGGCTCTTTTAAGGAGATGCTGGTTGTAATAGTAAGGATCAGCAAGATCTGAGGCACCTGATCTAAATATTTTGCATTTATAAGAATAAGATTAGTTTGTTCATATTTCATCAATCAAAGAAATAATTTAATGAAAAGAGATAATGAGGTAACAATGAATAGTAGTTCAAAGTAAAGATTTTACACATATTTTACTATATTTATCACTAAAACAAAGGAAATTACCTTGAGTAATATGTCCACAATTCTCTGTTGGTATTCCACAGCTTGCTTGTCATTCTTAAAATCTTCAAATGTCTTTATCAGAAAATAATATTGGAAGAAAAAAGCAAAACTTCACATGCAATATTTTTTATATATTCCAGCATTCAAAACAAAAATTTGGCTTGAGACGTTACAATATACTGTTCATAAGTTTTGTGAAGAAGCTACAATTATGTCTGAATCAAGGACCATGAATGGATGGTCTCCAATTAAGAAAGAACTCATAAGCCAAGGTGAAGTTATCTCAGAGACTATTCAATGTTGGAAACTATTAACAAGAACAATGGTTAACTCTAGTTTTCTCATTTCTCCATTCCATTCAAAGGGTTGCATACAATGTTATACTAGCCATGGTATGTTGGTCAAAAGTATTGCAAAACTGTTCATGAAGAACAGTGGAATCGCTTGTATAGGTGAACCTACTCCCAAGGTAGGTATCAAAAACAATATTTATGTATTTTTCGAACATTTACCGAGGTTGGAAAAGACAGCAAATTT